AGCTTGGAATTAAAGGCTGGAGACTTCTATGAATCCTAAGCCCTATTCATTGCCAGTGCCATGGAGTTTCCTATCTTTGCTCAAAAAAAGAGAGAGAGAAGGATGTGGGCAGGGAGAAGACGGTTAGAGTTAAAGGGAAGGGGAGAAAAAGAAGAAAAGAAGAGAAAGTGGGAAGGAGGTTGGAGAAAATACAAGACAATAAAGAATATTGAGGGGCCTATGTTGTGGTGGAGTAGGTAAAGCCACTACCTGCAATAACATGGGTGCTGGTTCGTGTCCCAGCTGTTCCATTTCTAATTCAGCTCCATGCTAATGATCTGAGGAAAGCAGAGGAAGACAGCCTTAGTATTTGAGCCCTGCCACCTGTGTGGGAGGCTCAGATAAAGCCTGTAGTTCCTGGCTTTGGCCTGACCCAGTCCTTGCCATTGTGGCCATGTGGAGAGTGAGCCAATGGATGGAAGATGTTTCTGTTCCCTACTCTAACTACAGCTTTCAAATATATATATATATAAATATATATATTTATTATATTTATATTTGTATTTATTATATATATATAAATATATATATATATATATATTTATTTATTTTTTTTTTTTTTCAAATGAAAATCCACATCCATGGTTCTCCCACTTCTCATACTATAATTCAAATTCTCACTTAGTTTAATTCTTTCCTCTGGATCCAAATAAAAGCACTTTATGCCTTCAAGCTCTTCACCAAATTAACCCTCTACCTTCAGCTAAGCTTACTCTATCCCTATTACTTGCCTCTCCTGCATACTTTAGGAAAGGCTACTCATTCTCTCAGATTTGGGACACTGAAAAGACCTAGAAGACATTATCTTATTGCTGCTTCTTCTACACTATCAGGTTGCTTCTTGGTCAGATATTTACTTCTGAGATTAATAGTAATGCTAACACTTCCATGAAAGACCCATATCCTGGACATGGCTTTGCATTCACCAAACTTTAATATGTTACATATCTCCTGACAAGTGTCAATGTTCTCCTGAGTTACACATCAACACTTTTATAATTCTGTTAGATCCCCAATTCTGGATTCCAACTTCCATCACCAACTCAACATCACAATGTAACTTTGTCCCCCATGCCACCGTCTCAAGCTGGCCAATTCATTCATTTACTCAAGGATTCATTAGGCAGCTTTCCTATGTTCAATACTATGGCATCATCTGGGGCTGTACATATGGAGATGACAAACAGAATCCATGCAGCTTTGTAGGAAGCTAAACAATGAAAAAATAATTTTAAAGTAGTGATGGAATTCTAAGAAGGCAAATAGAGAGATTTAACCAAAGAGCCTTGTTGAACTCTGGGGTTAAATAAGCAACATCTTCTATTTTTAAATTTATCATTCTTTTCTTCTTTCACATGTTATCCATCCTCATCAAGATATCAGGAGGTGCAGGACTTCTGAATCCTCATCTTCTCTTGAGTTATCAATCCCTACTTTCTCTTTCTACTTATGCTAGAAACACAAACATTCATTTTACTATTTTTTGCTGATTCTCTTAACTCTGTTTCCTCAGAATCTTTCATGACATACCTGGAAAATCACCAATCCTGGATAAACAATGCATTTCCCTTGGCTGGCTAAGTCTTTCGAGGGGAACAGAGCTTCACCATGACAGCTCTACATGCCTGAGCTACCGAGTGATTGGAACCCTCAGCTCTATTGTCAATCCTCTTCTGTGTTTTTAAACAGTCTCATGCCTCTGCCCTCTTCATAGAATTTACATTCAATTCTTCTCAGCCTCTCACCCTCACCACCCTATCAGTATTCTCCTTTTGCATCACTTCAGAGGAGAAAGCAGACATCATCATTCATTTCCTCACTCCAGTATCTGCTCATGAGCAAATATCTGAGTCTGTACTATGACGAGGCACCATTTTTACATCAGATACAGCAATGAACTAGGCAAGACAATTCATGTCCTCAAAGGTTCTAGTGGGAGGTGAGAGATCAGCAATAAATATAATGCCTATGTAATGGGTAGACCTTGCAAAAAGTTTCTGAGTGTTATGGAGCAGGGATAGAGAGATCCAGCTGCTTAGACTGGAAGCAGAGACAAGACTTGCACACTACTGAGGAGGGCAGTGGGAGGCCTGCAAAGAGAAGATGAGCTTTGGGCAGACTTGGAGGTGGTGTAGACAGCCAGCAAGCATACGGGAAGGGACTGCTAGTGCAAGGGTCTTGTGCTGGGAGTACACATAGAAGGATGGAGCAATGGTGGTAAGAGAGACAAGCAGCAAGGTCAGTCACTGAGGTCAGATGGTGCTCAGGTCCCTGAGCATGTGTAAGAATATGACTTTTACTTGGAGATTAATGGGAGCTACTGGAGAATGTGAATAGGAATCAGAAAGACTTACAAATCTGACATTTGTGAGAGCTCTTCCTGGCCTTCATTTCTAGTTCAATGTTCTTCCTTCTTAATAATCCCTGGTTTCATGTCATCTTTGGTCTATCCTTATACATATTAGATGCTCCGTAATTCTGTATTTAACCCTATTATGGCCAATTAGTTTTAACCCTCTCTCCACTTGGAAAATCTCCTTTCTGATATTTCTGGAGCTTGAAATCCTACTTGACTCTCTTCAGGTAGATGTGAACTCGCGTTCAGTAACTCCCAAAGCGAGATCATCATATTTCTTTGTCATTCACACTTTTCCCTGAAAAAAAATTCATTTTGTCTATTTGAAAGAAGTATAGAGTGTGAGGGAGAGACATACAATGAGATCAAATTTCCATCTGCTTGCTGACTCTCTGTTAGCTATCACAGCTAGGGCTGCGGCAAGCTAAATCCAGAACTTCATTTGGGTCTTCTGCATGGGTGGCAAGGGAACAAGCACTTGGCCATCTTCTGCTGCTTCCACACTATTAGCAGGGAGTTGGATCAGAAGTGGAGCACCTAGGATTCACATCCATGCTCATATGGGATGTTAGCATTACAGATGGTGGCTTTACTTGCTATGTCACAATATCAGCTTCCACTGTTTTTTAAAAATAGGCATTGACTTTAGTCTTTTTAATAGAGCATGAGTGAGAGTCAGAGAGAGAGAGAGAGGAAAGGTATGTGTATTTTACTTGAGAGAGAGAGAGAGAGCGCTCACTGCTGCTGGTTCACTTTCTGAATGACTAGCAACAGCCAGGGTTAGGCCAGGCCAAAGCAAGGAGCTGGGAACTCATCTGGGTCTTCCACATGGGTAACAGGGACTGAATTGGTTGTGTTATCACCTGTTTCCTCCCACGGTGTGCATGAGCAAGAAGCTGAAATCAGAAGCAGAGCTGGGAACTTGAACACAGGCTCTCTACTAAGGTATGCCAGTGTCCAGAGCCGGGCCATAACCACTGTACTACACACTGGCTTCAACCACACTCTTATGCACTACCTAGTGCTCTTCTTTCTGTGCCACACTCCCCACCACCACTGCCAAGCCATAGGACACTGATAATCATAGATACATCGAACCTATCACCTTCCTACGACCAGTGTCAGCGTGTTATCTCAGGTCTTCAATATTTCTCAGTTCACCCAACTGCGACCCATTCTATCCCTATAGTCGTGATGCTGTGTTGTGAATATGAGCAAATGAACTCTGTGCAGGCTACGCAAACTTCTTCAGACCCTGGTCTTCTCGCTCCTGCTGTGGCTCACAACCAGCATGCTGATCCACAGCAAAGCCTCAGAATTCTTCCTCTCCCTCAGTGTGCCCCATTCAGCTCAGTGACCCCTCCACACTTCTACATGTGTATTTCTGTAATTCATCCTTTCAGACCAAGTTCAGGCATTTACTCAAGGACTTGCTTTCTGCCCATACCAACTCACTCCTCTCCAGTCCTTTGGTCCTTTCTTTGGTGTTCTTGGAGCTCTCTGGGGTTCCTTTGGGCTTTGGCATATTCTACCATGATGGGCTAGTTATTTGCTCATCAAATTGAACCCCAACCAAGGACCAATTTAATACATCTCCAAATCTATAATTATATATATGTTATAACATATTATTATATATATTATATATATAATTATTAAACACACTGCCATGTAAAAACCAAATTCTGGTAAATGTCTTACGAAAGAATGAGTGGATATCATAATCTTTGTCATTTCTTTACTACTATTATCTGCTACCATTAGCATCAAGACATATATTTATATTTAATTTTGCATTTATTTTACTCATAGCTGCTTCTAGTTGCCATGGGTAATAAAGTGGTTCTGTGAGCTTGACTAAATCAACATAAATTTGTAAAAATAAGCTTAATATATACAAAAATTAATACTAAAAAAGAGGATAAATTTTAATTATTTCTTGGCATAAATAGTTTATAAATGAAATACTCCAAGGTAGATAACTTGGCAAATGTACAATAAAGCTCTCACTGCTACTTTGCGATCACAGTAACTTTTTATTAGTAATTTCAGTATGATAGATGCAGACCTTAGATATTTTATTTATTGGAAGATTTCACTAATATGAAAGAAATCAACAACTAAAGAATTAAGTGCTTCTTTATAGAATTTGTTTAACTTAGATATAGAGTTGACATGGTAGTCATCTAGGAAGATGGCTTGCTAAGTCCACTTATGAGATACAAATAGTCAAATTTTGCCTAAATTATTGAAAAAATTAAATGAAAGAGAAAGGGAAAGAGAAAAATCCTAAATCCTTTCATCTACTTAATTAGATATCAGCATTTCTAGCAAGCACTTCTTTACATTGAATAAAATATCAGAATTGCAAATATGTGCTTGAGAAAGCTAGAAGTCCATGCATAGCTTTTCATTAAAGTTTCCATAAATTTTTTGCAGATTCCCTATAAGCATAAACAGGTATATATAAATACACACACACACATATATATACACCAAGACATATATACTTTTAAACAGACACATATTTGTCTCTATTTACATACATAAACTTGGAAAAAATGATATTTAGTAGCAATGTGAAAATCTAATGCTTGTGTCTTACCTGACCCTGAGAAACTGTCTACAGACCCGTCTGCTGCGGTGGAAGCTAGTTCACTGCTGCTCATGGGCTCTGTTTTAACTACAAAAGAAACAACTCAGATCAGACACCCAAACAATTGTTATTGTAAAGGTACGAGAGAGAAGAAATACTATTAAAAATAGTGACAATAAGATCATTTTAAAGTATCTTTTTATTTGAACATGAATCAGATTAATATTTCTAAAGGAAGCATTTAAAATTTACACAACAGAAAGGCATGAAAATGCTAATTGCCTGATCAATGTGTGCTGCATGCATGTGTTGAAATATTGCACTGTGCCCCCACGAAATTTGAAAGAAGCAGCTAATTGTTTTTTCCTCCTTAAGAAAACAATCTAATCTGCAAGATTTTTCCACTGAATCCATTGAATTTTATCCACTAAATTCATTGACATCACATATTAGCAAAACATTTTATGCATAAATAATCTATCTCGCAAAATAGATATAATGTAATGCAAAATTACTTCCTGGATTTTGGAAAAAAAAAAATCTCAGTGACTTGGTCAAACAGAATAAAAGGATAGACTAAAAGAATCTGACATAGTGAGAAGTGGCTAATCATTAACACTGCATTTTGCCAAAGTGCTCAAGGGCAGGCATGCACAAGAGTGGTTACAGACACGCCTGGACACACACACACACACACACACACACACACACACACACACACACACACTCAGTTATCCAGCGGGGCTCAAAAGCAGAATACTTAGTTTACTGGATTATTATTACCAACCTGGCAAAAAGAAGAGCAATTCACCAATATTTTATGTACAGATTTTACCCAGAACACAATGCAAATGTAGCAAAAATACAGTTTTCCCTTCCAAAAAACACTGACAACAGAAACTTGTTCTATACATGAGTGAGTTTGTAAAAGTCTCCTTCAGTTGTGAAATAACTTTGATGTATGGTGCAGATTCTCCAAAGCACTCCATTCTTTGGATATAGTTACAGAATGACCGCACCTTTAAAACAACCAAGTCAGACCACTTCAGAATAGCCATTTCCCCCTTTAGTCTTAGATTTCATTTTTAAAATGAAGATACAGCATTACTATTTTCTCTAGAAAATACTGGTGCATGCCATCATTGGAATTTGCTTAATATGCTTTGTGAAAGTTATTTATTCTCTAATAACAGTTTTTCTAAGAGCACAATAACAGTTAAGAGTATACCCTCTCCCCAAATCAGCAATGTGTTTGCCAAAATGAAGGCACTGCATGAAAATAGTTATTTGGGAAAGCTTTGCTCACAAAGTAAACCCACTGGGAAATAGGAAAAGATGATGGAGAACACAGTGTTTTCCTCGCTGCAACATTGCCAGTCCCTAAGAAATACCTGGCAAAGGACAAATCACAACTGCTAAACCTTCAGATATTTTACCAATGCATAATGAGTAACTGTAAAATAAGCATTATAAATACATGTATCAGATAGTCACTTTTAAAAACATTAATTATTTAGATGGTTTCTTAAACAAGGCTGCAGGAAAAAAAAACAAAAACAAAAATAGCGAGACTAATGTGAATCACTCTGCTTGATGATTTTAATGTAGACCACACAACAGTGTAACTGAAGTTTTCACTTTTCTGCCAGTTGTTTTGGGTTAGAGTCTTAGTTGATATTAATAAATTCTGACATAAGCCTGCATTTCCCTTTTCTCTGCACACCACCAGGCAACAGCCTTAGGAAGGCAAGTAACTCATTCATCTACATCGTATCTCTCTTAAAAAAGAACTTACATAAAACCCTGTACATATAAAGCAACAGTTTTATTTCACTCTTTTCTGGACAAATTACCAAGGGGACTCTGTCTGAATTCAGAATCAATTCCATGTTGAACAAAAATTAGAATTAGGCTCAATGGAAACAGGTCATGTGAGATACCCACCTTGTGTCACATTCTCCACAGCAATTCATCCTTTTGCATGCTAAGTAAGTCTCAGAATGGGCTTATAAACTCCCCCTATGAGGTACTATCATTTTATTTCACATATAAAAACAGACCAGAAGAGTGACAGAATTGAGTGTTCATTTTCCATGCTTTTGACTCCAATGCCCATAGCGAAAGAAGAAATGATAATAACAGCAGTGTGCAGGTACTGTGGTGCAGTGGGTTAAGTCATGCTTGGCACATCATATTGCCTGCGTATGATTCAGTCCTGCCTCAGCTTCCAATTCAACTTCCTACTAATAAGTCTAGGAGGCAGCAGATAATGGTCCAATGCTTGGTTTTCTACCACCCACACAGGAGACCCCAGATGAAGTTCCCAGCTAGTATGTACATCTGGGAAATGAACAAGCAGATGAAAGAGCTGTTACTTTCCTTGCTCGATCACTCTGCCTTTCAAACAAATAACTACACCCTTTAATAGAGAGAACTCCCTGATAACAAAAGAGATAGATACGTATAGAAAGAGAATCTACAACACAATAAGATAGCCAAGGCCCTTAGTGTCTAAGAACTTGAGTCTAGTGAATTTTCTGGAACATTTCCAGTAGAAGCCACATGCTCCACTGCCAAGAAAAGAGAGCAAAGAAATTCTCCCCTTGCATTGGATGTTAGTTCAGGTTGCCTTTGTCTATTTAATGCCCAAGATTCTGTCAACTAGACTGTATCATCACCCTGTAAGCGCTTGCTTATGCAAAATCTACTGCTATTCCCCATAGCATTAGTCTAATTGAATGTAGCTCCTACTCTCAAGAGGCACATTCAATTATGCTTGAAATTCATTAAAACTAGGTAAAATGAATAGGAGAAGAGGATAGCTGTTCTTTTATGTCTCAAGTGCATTGCTTTTACCCATTGTGCAAATTTGTCCATCTATATGCTAAAGGGATAGAAACTCTCTATTTCCAGTGAATCCACTTTTCAAAGGCTCACTGTTAAAGAGAAAAGGATGTGCACAGAACTACCACCAGGAGATTCATGATTGTAGCAGGTAATGTAACTGAATACTAAGGATCACCAATGAATTGATGTTAAAAGCCTAGTAATTCATTGTTATGGAAAATAGTTTCTGAATGAAAGTCAAATGGACTGAGGCTATTATTTTTTTTTTAATTTATTGCCAAGAATATACTTACTAGAGCATTAAAAAGAAAAGAGGAATTTCCACCACCAAACTTTTAGCCATTCTATTCTCAGTCAGTGCTAACATATCTATAAGTAGGCTAAAGATGATACAATAAAGCACCTCTCCAAGGTTTTAATAAATCACACATTGAATTTTTAAGTATTTAATATTTAGAGTATTGCAATACCTGACAACTATCTCACCAAAGCCATCTTTCCACAAGAAAAATTCTAAGTGATCTCTTCTAAAGAACTGTAAGATTATTTTTATCTTAATCACATTTCTTTGTGACATTGACTTCAATCTATTAGAAAAGGATAAGTTGTGTTTATCTTTTGCCAATACTCAAGCATGTCTTTTTCTACTAACACAAGTTTCCAAACTCCTACGCAATCCTTAGGAACTTATTTATTCTTTAAAATAGTTCGAGAAATTTCCCAGTGTCCCTTTACTCTTGTTGGTCTTTCTAACATCTTCACTTGGTCATACACTATAGGCCCAAGCTGGACAACTTGCTAGTCTTTTCCTGTGGTGCCAGACTTTCATCCACTCATACCTTGGACAATTTTTTTAGTCACATAATTTAAATTACTTGCTAGGACACATTCTAAATCTTATTTGATCTCTCTCACCTCAATTTTCTCATATAAAAATTTAAAGATTATCTCTACATTACCAAAATGCCACTGGATTTGCAAAAATGTATGTAAAGCATCTGGTATAAAGTAGGAACTGAAAGTATATCCATCACCATTATCAGTAGTAGGAGTAATCATCTTCTCTTGATTGGGATAAATGCCTTTTCTTTCTTCTTCTGGGGAGTAGTATGAGGGAGCTATATTGAGGAAAAGGCAAAAGTACCAGCTTTGGACTTAACATCTGAATTTCAATCTGGCTTTGCTACTAACAATGTATACCCAGAGTAAGTATTAAATTTCTGTGTGCCTCTGCTTCCTCATTGGTAGGTGAAGATGACATATAAACACTCAGGCAAGAATAAGGAAGACAACTTGTTAAAAATCACTTAGTACTGTGCTAGCTCCAGAGCTTTTTGAATTATAATATTTTTGTTATAAACTCTATCATTATGGGTCCTTTCAACAATGAAAAATTAAAGCATTCTTAAGATACAGCTAACTGAGTCAAATTTATCCTATACTTCATATTAAAGTTCAGTTTACCCTATTATAAGAGATTTCAAAGAATCTAAAATGAAATGACTTGCCTAAGACCAACTGAGATGTCATGCCTCAGATTGTCAAAAAATGAAACCAACTCAATTTGGAAATAACCCCAGGAAGCAGGACTACTTAGTAAATATATTAAGAAAACATCTGCTTTATAGCTTACAACCAGTGTATATATACGTTTTCAAGACAGACTGGCAGGAAGAGACTGGTCATACATGGCAAGTACAATCAAGAATTTCAGAAGAATAAATGACCATCTCTGTTCAGCAGTATTCAGGATAAGTTGGTCGATGAATGTAAGAGATTCCAATTTTTTAGCCATAAATTTAAGTGTTATTCATCCATCAGACCACTGAAATTAGGAACTGTTATAGCATGAGCAGGATTTATCTCCCCAAAACTCAGACTTTAAATTCTAATCCCTTAATGCGAAAAGTTGATGGATTAAGGATAGAGGCTTGCAATCTGGGTCTTCTAATAACCTAAATATGCCATGATTCCATACACTTTGAATACTGAGATCACATAAACAAATCTCCAAGAAAACAATGGGCTAATCAGAGGAGACAAACATTTGGTCAACTTGATCAGTTATGCCTCTTAGTACAAACTAGGAGGACACCTACAGCATGTTCATCTGCAAAAAAACAATGCTTCTTGTTAGATCAGCAGCCAGTTTCTCTGTTTTAATGAATTTTCCCAGGAAAACACAGGAAAGGTATCAGCCTAGGTGAGCAGCAGGTGCCCCCAACCCCAGCCTCCCATCC